ACAATTCCATTATATTATAATGTAACTTTTTTTTAAAAAAAGTATTCAGATGTAACTAAAATACATAAAATACATAACAACAACAAAAACTGTTATATTGTATTTTTAATTAATTTTATTTTCTCTGTAAACCGCCCAGAGTCACTTTTTAACGAGATGGGCAATGACAAATTTGATATATAAATAAATAAAAATAAATAAATAAAAACATCAAGCAGCTACCCCAACTGGCAGTTAAAGCCTGCTGGCTCATCAAAGATTTTCCTATTTCTTTTTTTTTAATTGCAAAAAATAGCATCAAGGGAGGTTTCGATCCATTGGTGGAGTCAGTGAGGAAACTTGTAATTTAGAGAGTGTTTTATGGCTTGTGGTCATAATCTGTGGTGATGGATTTGCACAGTCACAAAAAGACGGTCCTGGTGGATATAGGCAGCCCAGAAAACATTTTTTTCAACCTTCCAGATGCTTCCTTACTAACCCATCTTACCTTAGCCTAGTTATTTCTCTCAGCAGTTGAATCCAGTTCCAAACAAAGCATTGGGCCTCAGCCACCCACCATTTTTAACTCCTAAGAATGACTAAACGGCTTATGTGGGTCAGTGAGCATTCTTGTATAAAAAATATTATATTGGAGCCCAGGACTTTGTCTTACATCATGCTAGCTTCCCAGGAAAGAATAAATACTTTTATAAAATAACGGTCAAGTGACTCAAAGAACCTAGACAGCATCAGGGAAAGCGTCTGAGGACACACTGATACCTACAAACACAAGGTTGCCGTCTTTTAGAATCAAAGATCAGAATCCCCGTGAACATAAGCCTAAGGTTTTATTTTCAGGGTCAAATTGCACCTTTTTGTAACCTACTCATTTCTGGTTTTTAGTCATTCATCTAATTTAGAAAGAAAACTCTTGTCATTGTTGCTTTTGTGCTGGAAATCACACAGTCTTGCTGATCTACAGTAGATCACCCTGAAAACTTCAGTTAGATTTCAATCTACCATCTACCCACTCTTGACATAGTATAAAGTATGAGCAATTTCATGCCTCTACGTTTCTGTTTCAACACTCTACACCCTAATGCTTCTGGGAGCTTGCCAGCAGGGAGTGATGGCTAAGTCTTTCTCTGGGCATCTAAACTCAGTATCTAATATTTAGGTGTATACCATCTCTCTGAACATGGACTTTCTATTGAGAAATCACTTCTCCATAAACCTTTTTTAAATTTATCTAATCAGTCATCTGTCAACCCTACATCTTTACTAATGAATTCTACTGTCTATTATGTGAAGAAGCATAATGCTGGTTTATGTATGCTGAATCTACTGCACTTTGGTCTGTGAAAGTCCTCTTTCTTGGGGCCATTAATAAGCAAAATTAAGCTCACTATCGCTTGTTTAATCTTTTTTGTCACTTATTCAGACTAAATGACAGTCGTAGGCCATGGCCATCCAGTGATGTTCGCCAGTTATTCTAGGTAAAAATACTGTAAGTGAGCAGAAGGAAAAATTGGTCTTACCCTCAGAGCTGCAGATCCTGGTTGCTATTAGGTGTTCCTAAAATCATTTGGCTCGCATTCCTTGGCTTCTTTCTAGCTGTGTGATTTCTTGTTCCAGCAGCGTCCAAGTACCAGTTGCAGAGGAACAATGGTGAGAGATGGATATGTTTCTGAGGGGCATTTGGTTGACCACCATAATGAACAAAATGCTCAATTAAGATGGATCTTGGCCCAATCCAGCAGGGCTAGTCTTATATTTTTATCTTTGGGTCAAGCGTCTATGCTGTAAGGGATTCAGACTGGCTGCAAGTGATATGCATCTTCCTTCTTCTCTTCTTTTTTTAAAAAGGTTCCCCAATGTCATTTTATTTTATTTATTTATTAAATTTATCTCCGCCCATCTCCCCTGATGGGGGACTCTGGGCGGCTCACATAACCCATTAAAACAATAAATAAATATACAATTACATAAAACCTAAAACCTGTACAAAACAGTTACTAAAAAAGAAAGAGTCCAGGAGGCCGATGGTCCAGAGCAGCAAACGCCAGGGCTCTAAGGGGCTAGCCATCCCCACACCTGATGTCTTCCCTCCCCACCCCAGGCCAGATGGCAGAGCCAGGT